TGGGAAATAGCAAGGCAGGCACAAAGGGTTTGCACCAGGTCTGTGGACACAGGGGACACCGTCTTAAAGGGGCCGTGTCCCCAACAAGTCTGGGGACACGGCCTTAAAGGGGCAGTGTCCCAATCTTCCTGATGTCCCAAAAAAGGTGTTTAAAGGGCCAGCACCAGTCACATAAAGAGTCCATAAGCCCCAATATGCCCACCGACAGTCTTAAAGGGCCATACACACCAAATAAAAGTGCATACATTTTCACAATCTCCCAGGGGCCATAGTCATGCGGGAGGAGGCTGGCAAAGAGGCTTCTCCACAACCCAGGGAAACAGGGCAATTTGCCATTTAAAGGGCCCGTTACAAATAGCAGTTTGTACAAGGTGTCAATCCATATCTGCCAAGTGACCCTATGTAGGGGGACCAGTCTCTATTCTGCTCTGTGTCCGTGTGCATCAGGGGCTCTGAGGACAGGTGTCAATCCATATGTCAAGGTGTCAATATGTCATATGTCAGGTGTCAATCCATATTGATTGTGATTTAGGAATGTTAGGTGATTTCTGCCCTTTATGGATTAAAACCAGACTCTGTATCAACTGTGTAATTTTCCATGGGAGTTTTGCCATGGATCCCCCTCCGGCATGCCACAGTCCAGGTGTTAGTCCCCTTGAAACAACTTTTCCATCCCTATTGTGGCCAGAAGAGTCCCTGTGTGTTTTAAAATTCGCCTCCCCATTGAAGTCAATGGCGTTTCGGGCGGTTCGCCGGTTCGCGAACATTTGCGGAAGTTCGCGTTCGCCGTTCGCGAACCGAAAATTTCGGGTTCGCGACATCACTATTTAGGACCTCCCTTAATTTGGCAAACATACAAGGCCATAATTAAAGGGTGCAAACGTCATGGAAATTTTCCTGACTTAGTTCAAGATGGCATCTTAAAGTCTGAATAGGTTATCTGTTGTTTATACTAAGTCATAAGTGTACAGTCGTGGGAGATTCCCGGATTTGGGGAAGTTCCATTAACTTGGGGTTACCACAGTATATTGTGTACTGCAAGAGTCGTAGCATAGCCTTGAAGCTTGTTTATGCATTATTGTTATTGTAATTCGTCTGGGACAAAATGGCGCAAACATATTATGCACTGAGGTTATTGCTTAAAGAAACCTCTATGAGAAACAATATGTTCCATTTCTAACACCTTGTCAGTTTGCAATATCTCTTAAAGACAAAGTAAACAGTTTAAGAAATACAACATTTCATTCTAAAACTTGTAATATTAGCATTTGCCCATAACAGGCGGATGTCCTTCAGCCACCGAGGATTGCAGGGCATTTCTCTTTGCCTCCTGTTGCCTCCTCCTCCTACTCCGCTTCCTCCTCCTCTACCACCACCTTATCCAGGCAGCGTAACTGCTTCACCACCAACTTCAGCACAGCCAAGGGGAAACGACAGCAGGCTGTTTTAAAACTCATATGTTTGGGGGAAAAACCCCAAACCGTGCAGGAGCTGTGGACGGGCATGGAACAACAGACTGATGAGTGGTTGTTGCCACTGAGCCTCAAGCCCGGCCTGGTGGTGTGTGATAATGGGTGAAATCTCGTAGCAGCTCTGGGCCTAGCCGGTTTGCCGCACATCCCTTGCCTGGCGCATGTGCTGAATTTGGTGGTGCAGAAATTCTTGAAAAACTACCCAGATATATCAGAGCTGCTGCAGAAAGTGCGGGCTGTCTGTGCACGCTTTCAGCGTTCTCACTCTACTGCTGCTCGCCCGTCTGCACTGCAGCGTAACTTCATCATTCCCGCTCACCGCCTCATATGCGACGTCCCCACAAGGTGGAACTCCATCTTGCACATGCTGGAGAAACTGTGCGAGCAGCAGCAGGCGATAGTGGAGTATCAGATGCAGCACGCACGGGTCAGTCGCTCTGCGGAACAGCCCCACTTCACCACCAATGAGTGGGCCTCCATGCGAGACCTGTGTGCCATTTTGAACTGTTTCAAGTACTCCACCAACATGGCCAGTGCCGATGACGCCGTTCTCAGCCTTACTATCCCGCTTCTATGTCTCCTTGAGAAAACGCTTCGGGCGATGATGGAAGAGGATGTGGCACAGGAGTAAGAGGAGGAGGAAGAGGGGTTATTTCCACTGTTATCAGGCCAGTCATTCACAATTGGCTTGGAGGGTGGGTTCCTGCACCAGCATAGGCCAGGTACACAATTGTCCAGCCAGGGCACAGTTCTGGAGGATGAGGGGGAGGATGATGAGGATGAGGACGAGGATGAGGAACAGTGTTCGCAGCAGGGTGGCACCCAACGCAGCTCGTGGGCATCAATGGAGCATAGCTTGGGGGATACGGAGGACACAGACGATACACCTCCCACAGAGGTCATCTTGTCCTTGCCTCTGGGCAGCCTGGCACAAATGAGTGACTACATGCTGCAGTGCCTGTGCAATGACTGCCGAGTTGCCAACATTCTAACTTGTGCTGATTACTGGGTGGCCACCCTGCTGGATCTCCGTTACAAGGACAACGTGCCGTCCTTAATTCCCTCACTGGAGCATGATCGGAAGATGCGCGACTACAAGCGCACACTGGTAGACGCGCTGCTGAGGGCATTCCCAGCTGACACCCGGGACTCAGTGGAAGCACAAGGCGAAGGCAGAGGAGGAGGAAGAGGTCGCCAACGCAGCTGGGGCACCACCAGCACCTCAGAAGGTAGGGTTAGCATGGATGAAATGTGGAAAAGCTTTGTCAGCACGCCACAACAGCCAGCACCACCAGCTGATATGGAACGTCTTAGCAGGAGGCAGCATTTCAGCAACATGGTGGAACAGTACGTGTGCACACGCCTACACGTACTGACTGGGTCTGCCCCATTCAACTTCTGGGTCTCCAAATTGGGCACATGGCCTGAGCTTGCCCTTTATGCCTTGGAGGTGCTGGCCTGCCCTGCAGCCAGTGTATTGTCTTAACGTGTGTTTAGCACAGCAGGGGGCGTTATCACAGACAAGCGCAGCAGCCTGTCCACAGCCAACGTGGACAAGCTCACGTTTATTAAAATGAACCAGGCATGGATCCCACCAGACGTGTCTGTACCTTGTGCAGAATAGACATTTATAACAGCCTCACCCAGCAATTTTTATACTCAAGTGCACTTATTCTTTGTTTTCTTTTTTAATATGTCCCAATATTTTGGGGGCTACCCCAATAAAAAAAATAAAAAACACAACAAACAAATAAAAAACAGTGTTGGCTACCTCCTCCTCCACCGCCGCTTCCACCTATATAGATAGATATATCAGAGCTGCTGCAGAAAGTGAGGGCCGTCTGTGCGCGCTTTTGGCGTTCTCACCCTGCTGCTGCTTGTCTGTCTGCATTGCAGCGTAACTTCGGCCTTCCCACTCACCGCCTCATGAGACTGTGCGAGCAGCAGCAGGCGATAGTGGAGTTTCAGCTGCAGCACGCACGGGTCAGTCGCTCTGCGGAACAGAGTTTTCTTTTTGTCCCAATATTTTGGGGGCTACCCCAATTAAAAAAAATAAATAAATAAAAAAAAACAAATAGAAAAACAGTGTTGGCTACCTCCTCCTCCTCCACCGCCGCTTCCACCTTCACCACCACGGTCACTGCCTCCTCAACCTATGGGTCGCTTAGTATAAACTATGTACACAATAGCAGAGGCTTGTGAAGGCCTTTTCTCCGTGAATCAGGAGTTGAGCTCAGTTTGTACAATAAAAGAGAATACCCTGCCCTCCAAGCCTTTCTCAAATGGATAAATCTGGTGATCCTCCTGACAGCCATGCTTTAGATTTTGATTTATGTTCTTCAAAAGCTAAAATCAAAGATTTCATGTAGTGCTATTTTATGGCTCAGCTGTATTTTTAATTTTTAGGTATTTTATGTTATTTTAAGTGATTTCCCTATCCACATTTGTTTGCAGGGCACTTGTCCTACTCTTACTCCCATTTTACTTCCTTTTGCAGCCCTCTAACCCTTTCCAGGACTTTTTAGAGGCATTTTTGTGCCCAAAAGTTTGTGTCCCCATTGACTTCAATGGAGTTCGGGTTCGGGGTCAAGTTCGATCCCGAACCTGGACTTTTTTTCAAAGTTCGGCCGAACCCGCCGGACCCGAACATCCAGGTGTCTACTCAACTCTAGTCTGTAATACAACAAGCATCAAGGGCTCCTCACCCTCACGGACAACAGAACCTTTTTGGGGCTCCTGCCACCAGGTCCATTGTCTGTGGGCAAGAAGATGTCATTCAAGCCTCTCCAGAAGGCTGTTGCATGGGAGCTTATGTCACACTGGTGTTTAGTGAAAAACCCTGTAAGTGTTTTGTCAATTGGAAATGTTGCGAGGCATGTAATTATGTGATGCTAACATTCTTGCACTTACTTTCTACACATCATGACTATTACTCTAATCTACCTAATAAGTAACTTTTATGCTATTCCCAACCCTCCTTTATGCATGACAATTCCTCCCAACCTTACTCTTGCCATAGTGGCATTTTGTTTCTTATAGCAAGGAAACCTCAGCTGCTGGGGTATTTGCAAAAGAATCTCACTGCATCAAGAAGTTTATCTGAAAATAGCAGGGATCCATCCAGTACAATGCAGATTCAATTAATTGAAAAGCAAGTAAACGGAATCTCAGAGAAAAATGTATCATTCAAATTGGATATAATTGTTTCCATTGAAAATGCACTGAATAAGCTCTAGAATATGGGCAAAAACTCAGAAGTTTAAACAGGGGAGGAGGGGGAAGTACTCATTAGGATAATATGGGATACCATGGGAATAGCATGAAAAAATGAAATGAAACAAAATGATGGCAGTGCCACTTTAAGCTATTGAAAGGATATAGCCAGGAATTTGGAAGCTCATAAAATGTATGTGATAACATGGTATCTTTATAGCAATAGACCATTCATTATTTCAATTTTCTATAAATATGTTATATAATTTGTAATATGATATTGGTATAAACTAATTTTATTTTTTGTATATTTAGCACTTACAGTGTTCTCACCCTATGGAGACGGATGGGCAAGTCAGCTTTTAGGTATTGACCTAAAGAGAAATATCATGGTTCGCTGGAAAAGGCATACCAGACCATTTCTTAGTGGCTCATACCAGTCTTTTAGAGAAGAACGGACAATCCCTCGAGAAATTGACTTAATTGGAGGTCATAAGAACACAGTGATTGTGCTTAATATTGGTGTGCATTTCAGACCTCACCCACTCCATCTGTACATTAGAAGAATCATTAACATTCAAAGAGCTCTGAAGCGTCTGTTCCTAAGAAGTCCAGAAACCAAAGTAATTATTAAGACTGAACATTCTGGTGAGAATGAAAAAGCATTTGAACTAAACAGTAGCTTTCATGGCTATGTGCAATATTTAATCATGGAACAGATCTTTAAAGATCTAAATGTTGGCTTTGTTAATGCGTGGGATATGACAAACGCATTCAATTCAAATATAATTCACCCTCCAAATACATATATTCAGCATGAAGTGGATATGCTAATGACTTATATTTGCTGATGGCAGTAGTAAGAATCCACCATAACTCTGCAGAATATAAGCTATTTATAAATGGAATAGATCTCAAAAATGTTTTGCAATAAATAATGTAAAAATGTGAAAATAAATACATTTAATGTAAAAAAAAGTTAAAATTACTTCTGTTCCTGATACATCTTGATCTGCATTAACAAGCAGAGAAGAAATGACTGAATGCATTCACTAACATATTTTGTAAAAATTAGGCAAAGAAGATGGTCATATGATTTACAACAACGACTAAAATGTAAATTCCAAAACTATAGTGCTCTAATCTAACAACAAAACAAAAATATGTGAGTGTGTATAGTGGATGCAGAGTGTGCATAAATGTATGGGGTAGATAGGATTGGAGCTGTGTTCTGTGGGGGCTGAGTAGTTTCTTTTTATACTAGTTTATATATATTATATTTTTTTTTGTCCCCCTCCACTACTTTTCCTGGTGGTCCAATGATGCTGTGCAAGGTCCTAGCTGTTTTGTATACTGAAAGGGGACGCAGACGACTCCAGCTTATACCACAAGCTGGTCCTCTCCTTCTCTTGCAAGTCATAATTGTGCAGTGCTGCAGTGTTGTCATGACAACCAGCTCTAACAGGCTGGACTTGCAGGAAGTTGAAAAGAGAGAGAGTTAGAGTGAGAGAAAGAGATTGTGTGTGTGCGTGCGTGCGCGCACACTCCAGTACTCTGACTGAGAACCTCTGTTCAGTCTTCTTCCTAGCTGCTTTTAGGTACCCAGGAAAGCTTCAGCCTCATTCACTACAGCTTGATTGGAGTCTCTCAGAAATTCTTCCAACCGACCATGTTGCAGTTCCCTTCCTCCAGGCAAGTATTGTCACCTCTGCCTTACCATTTGTTCAGGTCATATCCATGTCTGCCTGTATTGTGTTTGCAAATGCACTTGTGGCTCTCAGGCCTAGCTCTCTTTTTTAATAACTACACATTATACTGGCACTCACTCAAATCCTCGGTTCTGGTATCTTTATTGCTGGGTTTCTGAGTTCATTCTTATATTCTGTCCCTGGATTTCCCAGTCTCTTGGATTCACTTAAATGTTTGTTTTATGTTGCCACACCCGTTTGTTTCAGCTTGGACCTGCAGCAGTGTTTCATGTCTCTGCCCTTCCTTGCAGGTAAGTGCTATTGTGGTTTAGTGTGGCTGTTTTAGCATACATTAGGCAGTGTAGGACCTGCCAGATATGGGGTACATTGGCGTTGTTGGCAGGCTTGTGCAACGTATGATCATATAATGTGACTAAATCCCCATACTTTTCATAATTAGTGCTTAGCTATGTTTCCTCTTGTTTTACCTTGTATTTCTTGTTTTATTTAGTCTTTGTAACAGAACTATGCTTTTGCCTATGCTTTTTGCCTGGACTTAGATAACAACGCTGCTGGATGCATTACACAAAAACCGAATGGGCTGAAATTTGGACATATTGTTCCCCTGAGTGAGAGTTATCAAGCGGTGCTGGACTTAAAGGTGTACCCCCTGTTTTTGGGGTACATCCAGAATGTGGTTAAAATTGTGTCTGTTTTAATTATGTTATATGTTATCTGAGGGGAGGAAACGTGGGGGTTGAACCATGTATCTAATTGGCTGTTGTGTTAATTATGTGGGTGTAGCCTTTCAGAGGGCACTATTGCATAAAAGGAGACCCCTGTCAATAAACATCAGTTCTACTTGACCCTTCAAAACGTAGCCTCATCTTGTTCGCTTCAGGGAGTCTAAAAAGAAGGCTGCAGACTCCCACATGGAATGGGCAACCAGGATACAAAGGGTGGCATCACATTGGGTACGAGGGTGCAATGCCAACACCGGAGAGGAAGTACTACAGCTATTCTTAATGGAACATTTCTGGCTGTGGACATACAGGATTGGGTGAGAGATCGCCGCCCTGCTAACTTAATCGAGGCAGCACGGCTAGCAGACGAATACGCAGAGTCAAGAAAGGTGAGCCAGGGGACCACACGACCAACACCTAGAGCAGAGCCATGCACCCCAACGCCCGCTGCACGCACAGAATTTCGGGCCCCAGTACCCCCAGGGCCTCCGCGTCCTCAGGGGTCTAACAACCAACCACGGGATTCTTACAAAATTACGTGCCATCGCTGCGGCAACACGGGGCATATTGACCGTTATTGCCCCTTGGGATCAGCCAATAACAACTGGAGACGCTCGACCAATAACACAGAGACCCCACCATCACGCACCTCTGCTGCTCACTGCCTGGAAACCGAAGGGAGCCCTGAGGAGTGTTTGGGCATCCTGTACGAGGCAAACCCCATACAAGCTGCATCCCCAGATAACCGCCAGCATCACCGCCAGGAGGTGCGTGTAAATGGATAGGTAGCACAAGGCCTAAGGGACACTGGCACTACCATCACTTTGGTGCAGAAACATCTCGTGAAACCGGAGCATGTATCTAACCGTACTGTTGCTGTCCTTGTCGCAGGGGGGGCTGTTTTTCGCTTACCCACCGCCCGGGTACACTTGGATTGGGGAGTCGGGTCGGGAAAGACCACAGTAGGAATCATGGCCAATTTACCTGCTGAAGTCGTGTTGGGCAACAACATTGGCCCTCTAGCTTCAGCTTATTTACCCACGATTGCTGCTGCTTGTCCCGTGACCACCCGCTCACAGACCCATATCGAGGAAGATCCTCCAGCAGGCCGGGAGACCCAGGTAAGCCACAAGCAGACACTCAGCCCTAACACAGCAGAAAGACACATAGCTTGGGACACCCCAGAAGAGTTTGGGAGGGAAACTAGAAAGGACCCCACCCTCCAAAAATATCAGGAATTAGACGACAGTGGGGGGGATGAGCGGGAGCGTTTTATATGGGAGGGTGACAGATTATACAGGTTGACCCAAGGTAGGAGGAGAGGCTGTATCCCTTCGCAGAAGCGCCAACTAGTGGTACCCAGAAAGTACCGGTTGGACCTTCTCCGAATTGGACATGACATTCCGTTGGCAGGGCACTTAGGGGGTAACCGCACCGCCTACAGGATCACACAGACCTTTTTCTGGCCTGGGATTTTGAAGGACGTGCGGCGTTACTGCAGTACCTGCGACACATGCCAACGAGTAGGGAAGAGAGGGGATCACCCTAAAGCTCGACTGTCACCCATGCCCGTGATCGAGGAACCGTTTAGCCGAGTGGCAGTCGACCTAGTGGGACCCCTACCTAACCCCAGCCCCTCGGGTAAGAAATATATTCTTACAGTAGTGGACTATGCTACCTGCTACCCAGAGGCCGTCGCTCTGACGAATATCCAGGCTGACACTGTCGCCAGTGCTCTAGTCGGGATATTCACCAGAGTGGGATTCCCTCAGGAAATCCTATCTGACCGAGGGACCCAGTTCACCGCAGACCTAACTCAGCAGTTATGGAAGGTCTGTGGTGTCAAGACCCTGCTCAGCTCCCCGTACCACCCTCAGACTAACGGTCTCTGTGAATGCTTTAATGGTACCCTAAAGCAATTGCTGCAGACCTTTACGGCGGAATACAGAGACTGGGAGCGATTCTTGCCGCACCTCTTGTTTGCATATCGAGAGGTGCCCCAGGAATCCACAGGGTTCTCTCCCTTCGAGCTGCGAGGCCCCCTCGACCTCATCCGAGAGCACAGGGAGGGAGAGATAGAACATGAGGGGGTTCCTATCGTACCTTATGTGCTGGAGATGCGGGACCGCATGGGGCACTTAGCCAGGATGGCCCGAGAACATCTTCAGGCAGCCCAGGGCCGTCAGAAACATTGGTACGATCGGGGCGCCTGGTTGAGAACGTTCCAAGTAGGTCAGAAAGATCTGGTACTTAGACCTGTCAAGGGAAACAAGGTAGTGGCCCAGATATGTGACACCACCTATGTAATTGCCAGTAGCCAGGACAAAAGGGTCCAGAAGTCCTTTCATGTCAATTTATTAAAAGAGTACCAAGAAAGGCCCGAAGATATAGCGGCCATATGTATCCCGGCCACTGAAGACCCTGACAGTCTTCCCATCCCAGATCTGTTAGCTGACTCCGAGCCTAAAACTCTGCTCAATACAGTGCAGCTAGGGGAGCGGTTAACTCCCACAGAAAGGGAACAACTCCAACAATTGCTAGCTGAGAAAGGATTGACGTTCTCTCAGGAGCCCTTAGCGACACATTATGTGGAGACCCCAGGACAAACCCCTCTCAGACAGACTCCCTATAGAATCCCGGAGGCCGTAAAAGAGGAGATGAGAAAGGAGATTCAGGAGATTTTAAAACTGGGAGTTATAGAGCTGTCCAACAGCCCCTGGGCATCCCCAGTTGTCCTAGTTCCCAAAAAGGACGGAACGACCCGGTTCTGTGTCAATTACCGACGCCTCAATGACCGGACCGTGACAGACTCATACCCCATGCCCCGAGTAGACGAACTATTAGATCGTATTGCCAGGGGACACTATCTGACCACCATCGATCTGTGCAAAGGGTACTGGCAGATTCCCCTGGCCAAGGACGCTATCCCTTGTCGGCGTTTGTCACCCCGTTTGGCTTATACCAGTTTAAGGTCATGCCATTCGATGAAAAACGCCCCAGCTACATTTCAGCACTTAGTGGATCGTCTCCTTGATGGCTTCCAGGAATTCGCGTGCGCATACCTGGATGACATTGCGATCTATAGTGAGACTTGGGGAGAGCACTTAAGACATGTAGAGGCTGTGCTGGATCAGATTAGGGCCGCAGGCCTAACTCTGAAACCAGAGAAATGTAATTTCGGAATGGCCGAAGTACAGTACTTGGGACACAGGGTAGGGTGTGGGAAACAACGACCAGAACCCGCTAAGGTGGAAGCTGTAGCCAACTGGCCCACACCCCACACCAAGACCCAAGTACTGGCATTCTTAGGGACTGCGGGATATTACATGAAATTTATCCCTGACTACAGCGCCATCGCTAAACCCCTGACAGATTTGACAAAGAAAAATTTGCCTAGAGTAGTCCTGTGGTCTCCCGCCTGCAAAACAGCGTTCCAAACCCTGAAACAAGCCCCGATCAACGCACCGGTTTTGTCTGCCCCCGTCCCTAACAAAAGATTTGTCGTCCATACAGATGCGTCTATGTACGGACTGGGGGCAGTTCTGAGCCAGGTCGGGGAAGATGGAGGGGAACAACCTGTCGCGTACCTGAGTAGAAAACTATTGCCCAGGAAAGTGAGCTACGCGGCAGTGGAAAAAGAGTGTCTAGCCTTGGTCTGGGCTCTAAAGAAGCTCACACTATACCTGTACGGTCAGGAATTCACTTTGATCACAGACCATAACCCCCTAGTATGGCTGAACTGAGTGGCTGGGGACAATGGACGATTACTAAGATGGAGCTTGGCCCTACAACCATACAACTTCTCCATTCAATATCGCCCTGGCCAGTTCAATGGGAATGCAGACGGACTGTCCAGGCAAACGGAACTTTTACCTTAACCACAGACCGGACAGCGTCAAGTTGACCCAAAAAGGATCAATCCGGGTCTGCCGGAGTGTTCCACAAAAGGGGAGCAGTGTAACAGAACTATGCTTTTGCCCATGCTTTTTGCCTGGACTTGGATAACAACGCTGCTGGATGCATTACACAAAAACCGAATGGGCTGAAATTTGGACATATTGTTCCCCTGAGTGAGAGTTATCAAGCGGTGCTGGACTTAAAGGTGTACCCCCTGTTTTTGGGGTACATCCAGAATGTGGTTAAAATTGTGTCTGTTTTAATTATGTTATATGTTATCTGAGGGGAGGAGACGTGGGGGTTGAACCATGTATCTAATTGGCTGTTGTGTTAATTATGTGGGTGTAGCCTTTCAGAGGGCACTATTGCATAAAAGGAGACCCCTGTCAATAAACATCAGTTCTACTTGACCCTTCAAAACGTAGCCTCATCTTGTTCTTGGAGGGGATTTATGGTACCATTACTCTGCCTCATTTTACAGCACTGCCAGATTATACACTTGGATATCGTGGATGGGAATAAGAACTCCATTACTTCACAGCAGCTTGCCTAGAAAAGGACGTCTCCAACGGCAGATACCCCTCTCCAGCTGGGTAGCCGTTACAGTCTTGTAATCCCAGTCTATGTAAGAGTCCTGTCCAGTCATGCCCATGTTATGTTCTTGTTTTCCTCATGTCTTGTGTGCATGTTCTAGGTTATGTTTTCTGTCCTGTTCTGGGTTCTCTAGTCTTGCCTTGTTCTCCTAGTTTTGCCTTGTTTTCATGTATGGTGCCTATCTCTAGTCTTGCCTTGCTTCAGTACTGGATACATCCCTGCTGCAGAGCCTCCCTATTCAGGTCCTGGGAGGTCTGCTTAATTACCTGCTCCTAGTTCCTAGGATCCGCATAAGCTGAATCAGGGTTTTGGTATGTGGCTGCACAAACGCTGGTGCTCATCCTGCTAATCCACCTCCACACTGTGACTCCTACTCTGAACATCAGGCACTCAGGGGTCCCGGTCCACGCACCGCCGCCCGGTCAGTGTCTGGGTCCCGGGCACCGGACCGCCACCCTGACAGATATGGAGTGTGCCGCTCATTAACCCAGTTCACACTTCCATAAACCGAAACCACACGGACGTTCTAAGCAGTCGGCTGGGTGGTCGCCGTTCGTATAGACAAACCCGTGGCTGCGGCCATCTTGAACACGAACAAAGGCAGCAGGGTTTAGTCATCGAGTGCATGGAACTAAAATCGGACACTCGACAGCGCGAACATCGCTGGGACTTCCACCTCCACCTGGGACTTCCACCTCCACCTAATCTTGTAAAATATGTGGTTTTCCTGCCTGGAGATAATTGAGTTATTACATTATCTACCTCAATTATCTACCAGGCAGAGGGGAGAACTTGTACATACTGTATGGGAGTGTCTTCATGTTCAACACTGTTCCACTGGCTTGTTAACTTTGTGTCCTGGTGCCCCACAAGGTCCACCTAGGCGTCTCCCTGTTGGGAAAATCACTTAAAAGGCAGTGTGCCTCCATTAAAAACTAGTTATTCCTCCAAAACTAAGTGTCGTCCAGTTACTGGGGAGGTGTTGGGAGAATCTTGGCTTGCCTTGCTGTATTTAGCTGTTCCCTTGGAGTAACTTCTTTGTTCATGAGTACATCTTGGAGGAACCAGCAGAGAAGATGGGACACTGAGACGCTAGGGGACACTGTGAGACATGGGGACACAGATACACATGTGGACACTGAGACATGGACACACACACACATGAGGACACTGAAACACTAGGGGACACTGAGACACTAGGGGACCTGGGCAAACAGACACCCATGGTGACACTGAGAAATGGGTACACAGACACTTGGGGACACTGGGAGACATGGAGACACAGACACTAGGGACAGTGCCCCATGTCTCTCAGCCAGTGTCCCCATTTCTCAGTGTTACCATGTGTGTCTGTGTGCCCATGTCTCCCAGTGTGCCTAGTGTCTGTGTCCCTAGTGTCTCAGTGGCCCTAGTTTCCAAGTATTCTTAGTGTCTGCAAGTGTCTGTGTCCCCATGTCTCTGTGTCCCCGGGAGATATGGGGACACTGGGAGACATGGGGCACTGAGACACTGTGATACATAGTCTCAGTGTCCCCATGTCTCACAGTGTCCCTAGTGTCCCTAGCGTCTGTGTGCCCATGTCTCCCAGTGTGCCTAGTGTCTGTGCCCCTAGTATCTCAGTGGCCCTAGTTTCCAAGTATCCCTAGTGTCTTCGTGTCTGTCAGTGTCTGTGTCCCCATGTCTCACAGTGTTCCCTAGTGACATGGGGACACTGGGAGACATGGGGACACAGACACTAGGGGACACTGGGTGACTGGGAGACAGGGAGACACTGGGGGCAATCCATCTATACAGCAGAATCAAACTAAGTTAGTTTTTTTGTGATATCACATAATTTCTCTATCACTCCCTGTGATTTACATTATGTGATGTCACACATACATAATTAGTTATGCAAATTAGTAAGGCCTGTATTTTTTTCCAAGAAAGGTGGCAACCCTAAGTACTCTTCACATACTCTTGCTTAAGTATGGAAACTTAAGAGGGATATATGGAAACAAAACTTGTGAAGACTAGCTGAAATAAAAATGAGTTAAGGTAATGCAGACTTTGGTCTCTCTAACACTGTGGCATGTCCCCTTTCTTCTACACTCACTACATCCACCTGTATACCAGGAGCTTCTGTCTGCTAGTAAGAAAGTAAGGAGACAAGTGGACATATGAGTGCTAGAGGACAGTCCTTAGAAAGCATTGACAGAACGCATCATTAGACGCATTTATGCCAAGCTCTGGATGCTGTTGGCCAGCATGCATAATAGGGAGGCAGCCTGACATGTATTCATGCCAGGCTAGCCTTCCAATTCTTTGGGCATACATTCCATCTTTTTGGGCATGTTCGGCCCTTTTGGACATTCTGGTTGCATGATCTGCGTCAGTGGCCCACCCTTTTACACCACCCATTGACTTCCTGCTTCACTGGACACTGCTGTTAGGGGGTATGGAATTACTTATAAGATGAAAGCATGAATTGTAAAGAGATTAGCATATTTTAAGAGAATTTTTTTTGTGTTGCTGCATCCTAAGAGTTTCCCTCCGACAAAATCTCCACCAGATACATAATGCTTGAGAGGTATGACTGATTTAGTGTTTTTGGTCGTTAAGATTCTGTACTTAGGCCCCTCATAACTGACAGCACCAGGCCCACTGGGCTCTTAATCTGGCCCCGACTGCAGGGTCCTGCAGTGACAGGGAAACAGATATGTTTTCCTGGCACTGGAGAGTCCCTTTAAAGTGCCAAATACCAAGTGCATAAAAAATTCATAAAATGCTGCAAAATCGAAAATCAAAATATACAGCCTGTCAACATTCATGTAAGACTAGAATATAGTCTAGTATCAGGAAAACAGATTCAAGTAATATGAAGTCTTATTGATCCAAATACAATTCCCACAGGATAATATCCCAAAAGCTTAAATAACTGATGCATCACTTGTCCTATGAATATTCCACTGTGGAGTAGGTAAAGTAGTTGAAAGAAAGAAAAAAAGAAAAATGAAAAAAAATATCTCTAATTGACACAGGAAACTATACAAGCATGTAATTGAGTTCTATCTCGTCCATGGCGAATTATGAAGGAGTCCTTGCAGTCTCTGTACATTTAGAAAAAAAGTGTCACTCTGTTCTGGCTATATATCACTGGGCTCCAACTTGTAAACATGCCAGGCAAATCCTTGACTGCTCCGACTGAAGTCCTCTGGATTCCGAAAGTGGAATGTGACAGGCAGATCCTGGGCTCTCTTTATTTATTTTTTTAAATCTCTTTTTTATTTGGTTACAGGCACCATGAAGCCAGCCAACATCTCTGTTACTGGGATCCTTGAACAATTTCAAACAGAACATATAGTCCCAAAAGGAACTAACAAACTTTTATTTTTAACGCTTTATTTTTAACAATGAACAGCACATTTGTGACGGAACACTCGGTCACTTATGCCTGTACCAGGAACAAACTCGCACATCACCCCCAAAAGAAGGGCATAATCACTGTACCCATATACCCATATGCCATGTCCAAACTACTGAAAGCGCCTCGCTTTAGGTCTGGCTACAAGTTTCATAGAGACACGAGTATTCCAGCAGGACTTACATCCAACTCTTATGGAACTCTGGCCTGGACACCACCAGCTGCTGTACCCAGCTACCTTCCAATCCGGTTTCCCCTATTTCCCCCATTTCCCCACCAGCCAGGAGAGCGCTCTTCAGAGGGAATATACTAACAAACAAAATAAACAATCGCTCCCTAAGAGCCAGAGGAAGCACCCCCTTTTCAGTCCACAGAAGCTCCTGATATTTGACCAGCCAAAGCCCCATTCATCAAAGAACTCTTTTGGGCATGGAACTTGCTAGTGGCCAGTGAAATCTTTACCCTGGTGGTGATTCTCCATTTCTGCATGAATTCAAGTGCTATTTTGCTAACTTATGCACCTGGGTTAGAGCTAATCGGGGATGTGGGTTTCTTGTGGGTTTGTCATATTTTTGGGGATATTTTATGTTGTAACCTCTGTGTCTGGTAGATAATTAGTTAAGCACACAATGACACATGTCATTGCCAGACACAGAGGCACCAAGGTGGGTTTATTGTACTGTTAAATAGGGACCCATGCTGGCAGTCCATGTATAAATGACAGTGCTGGTGACAAAAAAATCAGATCTTCTCCCAGCATTAGGTTTCGACTAATATGGGGGGAGGCTATAACACTGCTATACTCTACATCTATCCTGCGAGCTGTTGTTAACTGACTACTGTAGTGCATGGGATACTTTGAAGGGGAAAGGAGAGCGTTGGTGGTGACACTCATGTCCCTTAATGAGTGGTCCGCCACATCTGGTGGCAGCGGTGGGATGGCCCCTTTCCCAAAATCAAATGAGGAGCCCGGAGAAAACATTGCAAGTCAGCGGGTGGAGAGAAGCTACAAACAGCTTAAAAGATTCACGTTAAAAGACTTGCTAGAAAGCCGGGGACACAGCATCAGTAACCTACCCAAGAAAGTTTTGAAAGCAGTACTCAAAGAGCTGGACTAGGCCTGTTCTGCCTTGATGGCATCAGCTGCAACATCGGAGGAAATCGAACATATGCAGAAAATTCAAACTCGCTTAGCACTGTTCGGCCCAAGCTCTCCAGCCATAGTGATCCTGAAGGTATTGAACAACGTCAATGCTGCAGCCCAAGCCAAGAGAGAGCACCAAGTCCGGATAGCCGAAATAGCTCGCTCCCGTCCCTTGCCTTGTATGTGGGCACAAGTGGGCGGGAGAATAAAAGGAAAAGGTAAGTCTCATATGCACATTATTTATGTACAAATGCAGAGAAGCCACTTCTAAAATAATATCCACAATAATATCACTTCTAAAATAATATCCAGGCAGACCAACAAGCTATTACTGCTCAAAATAGACAAATCACTAATCAATCCACCAGCAGGCTACAGGCTCTATCTGTAGAGATAAAGAGGGAGAGAGTGTGTGTGTGTGTGTGTGTGTGTGTGTGTGTGTGTGTGCGTGTGTATGCATGTGTGTGTATGGGTCAGTTTGTGTCTGCATGAATCAGTGTCTGTGTATGGGTCAATGTCTGTGTCTTTATGAGTGTGTGTGTGTGTGTGGGTCTGTTTGTGTGTGTGTATGGGATCAGTGTTAGCATATGTGTATGTGTATGGGTCAGTGTATGTGTATGGACCAGTGTCCTTGCACCGGCCCTGCCACTGAGTCATGGCTTTCTTCTGCTTCAAGATCTGTATCCCACTGCTGCAAACCGGTTGTAGTGGAGCTGCAATCCTGAGACCGAATTTCTTTGATGAAATCGTCTTGAGCTAGAACAAAACGTTACTTAGTGAATATAGCCCATTCCCCCTGTAGCTGGACAACACACAGTTCTGGCAGCACAACTGTTTTGATTGAGCAAAACTATGTCTTGTATGCACAGACCCCAGCATGGAGACTCTATTGTCTTTACATAGTGCCCGCCCCGACGTCTCTGTGTCCGGGTGAAAATTGAGTTACTGACCGGTAAACTAATTATCTCCTGAGTACACAGAGCCAAACATAAAATATGAAACCTAAAAACACCCCAAAACACTGTTAAAACACACAGGAAACCCATGTGTCATACATGGTGTATTTTACTTTTGGGCTTCCCTAGGCATGACAAAACTTGGGCACCCCCAACACACGCACATACATATTCACTGACAGAAATACATACACACTCACTGACAGACACACATGCACACTCACTGACACACATCTGCTGACAGATGATGTGGATATCAATCAATAAATTGATTATCTTGTGTATCTGCCCCTGGCCAAATTAAAGAAACAATGCGTGCACACTCCTGAAGTAATTCACACTAAACACAAGTTTCAGGTTAATGAAAAACTTGAGGAATCTTTATTCAGGGGGACGACATGTCCTTTTTAAAGCAAAATTACATCATAAGCATTGTCAGAGATAACATGAAATAATACATCAATAATTGATTAGGTGTTAAGTGGTCCATTTAATGCTCTGCCTACTGAGGGTGATGTCACTGGCATCGTGGAGGTCTCCCCCAGATTCCAGCGCCATCTTGCTAGTGAGAGTGTTAGTCGATGTTAGAAAGGGGAAAGTCCCTAGCGGCCATTTTAGATAATCACATAGAAAGTTGAATAATGCTGATTGTAGTTATGTTGAGTAAATAGACATTTTACTAATATGGATTGGGTTAATATTTCTGTCCACAACAACAGACATACACATTCACTTACAGACACACACACACACACACACACTAAAATAAATATGCGCACGCACACACACACACACACTCACTGACAAACACACACATACACATTCACTGATAGACACACACACTGACAGACATGCACATTCACTGACAGACACACTCTCACTGACACACACATACTCATTGACAGACACATTTATACACTCTCACTGACAAACACACTCACTTGCATATTCACTGACAAAAAGGCATGCACACACGCACTGACACACCCACTTGAAGACATACACATTCACTTAGAGACACACACTCTCACTGACAAACACACACACACTAAGATACATTCAAACTCACTGACAGACAAACACATAAACATTTACTGATGGGGACACACACTGACACACTCTCACTGACAAACACACACATACACACTCACTGACAGACACACTGATACCAACATGCTCACAATTTATTTATTTTAGTTTCAATCTACGCTTTGGGAGTGCTGGCATGGAGTCTCCATTTCCCTGGGGTCCAGTGGAACTGTTTGGCTAGCGTTCAATGTAGGCGGCAAGGGAGCGCTTTCCTTTGAGCTCTCACTGTTCAGCTCCCTCACACGTATTTTAGTGATGCTGAAGTGTCGTCATGCTCCGGCATTACTGCAGAAGGAGCTCAGAGTTAAGTGCTCCCTTGCTGCCCGCTCACAGACAAGCCAGGTGAGTGCATTTTGGGGAAAAGACTTATTCGTCTGAGGGGAACATTTGATCCCTAAAAGCCAGGTGGAGCATCTGTGTGTGTTCGTACAAGAACTCCCGCAAGCTGACCGGCTGCTGCTTCTTTTTCTCTTGAACTTTTTTGGACTACTATCTCGTGGCCGGCCAGTCAGTACTATACCTGAATGGCAATTTTGTTACACCGAATGGATCTGAGCAGTATTTGGACAACTTGTGCGCTCGGAACTGGGCTATTCGGGGATATAAGCGGGTGGCTCCCTTCCTATGGAATAGCCTGCCTACCCCCATCAGACTCTCCCCTAGTCTTCAATGCTTTAAGAAGTGCCTTAAAAACCATCTCTTTAGGAAAGCTTATGGCCTCCCAGAATAACCTCTACCTTACACATCTGTCTCTTGCTCTCTACTATAGAGCAGCACTTTACTCTCTCCCCCAGCTCTGCTTCACTCCCACCTTATTTGAGTGATATTTCCTGTCCTAATGTGTTTTATACACCACCTCCTTTAGACTGTAAGCTTGTTTGAGCAAGGTCCTCTTCAACCTAGTGTTCCTGTATGGTTTTTCTTGTAATTGTCCTATTTAGTTACTTTCACCATCTCATAATATTTGCTACGGAATCTGTTGGCGCTATATAAATGGCATTCATAATAATAATATAAGACATGTGGGATTCCTGTGTGCTCTGAATGTGGTAATGTGGTTTTAGGTTGTTTTTTTTTTTTCTGTATGGTTTCCTGTAACTTAATGATCTCTCAGACACAGGGACGCCTGGGAGGGGTTTGTGTTGTTTGGTATGGAGACCCCATGATGGTACAGGTTGGATTTTTATACAACTTTTCAGGCCAGAGGAACACCCACTGAATCTGATTGGGAACAGGACACAAATTGTACAGACCAATAGCAACAATGTAACAATGCCTGACACATACAGTACACAATCCCTCCCCTCTGCCTGTGATACAATTAAGGTAGATAATGTCTTAACGTAATTATCCCCATTCCCCAAGCATAAAAAACACATATTTCACAAAGTCCCATAAGTACCCCAAAATAAAACATATCCCCATAAAAGTCACATCCCCTGATAACCCTGATCTGGGTAAACAACATATCCAAAAATCACACAGATCAGAGCAGGGGGTTCAAAAGTTTCATGGAAGTCGCTTTTTGACCGGCCGCAAGCATGGCTTTATGCCCAAAATAGTTCCAGAGAATTAGACTGTGCACCGGTGTATTTCCAATAATTAAAGTGCACTTCAAATAGTCGAATGTTGATGTGTGTTCGGTAGATTATTTTTACCGAACGGCGCTCTGTTCGTGCATATTTAGCCAAACCTAACTGGAGGTGGAAGTCGCAGTGGTCTTCGTGCCATTGAGTGTCTGATTTTAGTTTCATGTGTTCGACGACAAAACACAGCTGGACGCGTTCAACTAAACAAGATGGCCGCTGTCACGTGTTCGACTATACGAACGGTAACCACCCAGCTGTTCATCAATTTGGCTGTGGTAAACTCCCAGTCTGGGGGGTAAATGGTATGACTGTTCAGTTGTTTATTCGGTAAACGAACACCATAAGTAGAATCCATCTGCTAGCCTCATATACCGAACAGCAGAGGGGAAAAGGCATGAACAGAGCCTGTCCACAGTGCTGAAGCCAGGTATAATACACGAGCCATTGTAGTTACATAGTAGTTACATAGTTACATAGCTGAAAAGAGACTTGCGTCCATCAAGTTCAGCCTTCCTCACAAATGTTGTTGCTGTTGATCCAAAAGAAGGCAAAAAACCTGGTCTGAAGCGCTTCCAATTTTGCTACAAACTAGGAAAAAATTCCTTCTTGACCCCAAAATAGCAGTCAGATGTCTCCTTGGATCAAGCAGCTATTACCCCACTAATTAGAAATTATATCCCTGTATGTTATGTTTTTGTAAGTATTTATCCAATTTCAGTTTAAACATCTGTATGGACTCTGACAAAACCACCTTTTCAGGCAGAGAATTCCATATCCTTATTGTTCTTACTGTAAAAAAACCTTTTCTTTGCCTTAGATGAAATCTCCTTTCTTCCAGCCTAAATGTGTGACCTTGTGTCCTATGTATAGCCCTGTTTATGAATAGATTTCCAGATGAAGGTTTGTACTGGCCTCGAATATATTTGTATAAAGTTATCATATCCCCTCTCAGGCGCTGTTTTTCCAAACTAAACAGATTTAATTTTTTTAACCTTTCTTCATAACTAAAATGCTCCATTCCTTTTATCAATTTTGTAGCTCGTCTCTGGACCCTCTCCAGAGCCATGATATCCTTCTTTAGAACAGGCACCCAAAATTGCACAGCATATTCAAGGTGTGGTCTTACCAGCGATTTATAAAAAGGCATAATTATATTTTCATCCCGAGAATTTATGCCCCTATTTATACATGACAAAATCTTACTGGCCTTAGCAACTGTAGATTGACATTGCATATTGCTGCCTAATTTGTTGTCTATAACAATTCCCAAATCCTTCTCGTGTGTGGTTATCCCTAATTCACTACCATTTAGTGTGTAAGTTGCTTGTGCATTCTTAACCCCAAAGTGCATAACTTTGCATTTCTC